TTTTTTTTTAATGCTAATTCTCTTTAGTACTAAAAAACATGCTTTTTTTTTTGTCTTATCTTCTAAATAATTGCAAAGTTTACCAGTAACATAGACTGGCAAGAAATGCACCAATTAAATTGGCAAATACAGCAATATAGAGTAATGACCATAAACGTGAATCGCATAGAAAAAATGCTGAAGAAACGGCATTGCCAAACGATACAGCCATATTAGCACAATGTCCGATCATTCGATAACCAATATATGTTACTAATGCCTAAAAAAGAAGAGACTAAAGTGAAATAAAAAAAAATAAAGCTATAGGTGAAGAAGCTGTTCTTAAAGTTGCTACAATGATAGTTAACATTACAGTACAAAAAAATCTTTCAAACTATCTTCTACAGTAGTAGTTCCTTGATAAAAAAAAAGGACTATTTAGAATAGGAACAAAACCAGTTGTTTTTTTTTTTTTAACTAACACTTAAACGCTAATCTAAATTAAGATACAATTTTTTTTGAAATGTTAAAATCTAAAAAAAAAAAAATTGAATGAAATTTACTCTGGTAAATCCTACAATTACAGTTGATAACTTTCCTTGACGACCACCACTGTTTACTGCTGTAAACAGATATGCTGAACATAGCACAAATGACATTATAACTTCCAAAAAAAAAGCCTGCAATTTTCAAAGTAGGAATAATAAATATAGAAAATTATAATTTTGATAGTAGAAAAATAAAAAAAAAAGCAGAATTATTAACCTGTGTTGAATTTGCGTATAAGTATCTATCTTTTTCTGGGATACCATATTTGAATGTACTGTTAAATGCAGCATCTGCTAAAAATGCTCGACAGAACAGTGAAGCAATAAATGCACCCAAAAATTGACCAAAAATTATACAGCTTCCAATCACAAGTCGGCAGTGTCCAACAAAACCGACAGCTAATGTTATTGCTGTAAAAAGGCTGATTAAAAACTATTCAGAATTTTTGCTTTTTTTTTGCACATTTCTTGTAAAACTATAAATTAGATTAAAGCTAACTTTTAGAATCACACATTTAATTATCAATTATTAAAAACTCAAAAACAGAAGAAAAAAAACCAACCTGGATTAAAATGTGCACCACTGATATGACCGAGCAATGACATTAAAATAAAAGTGGTAATGCCTTCAAAAAGTGCTGCTGTTAACTGTTGATTTGTTGTCGGAACACTAAGTAACATACCTGCAAAAAAAAGAAACTAGCACTAGTTTCATCTTTTTTTTTTTTTTACTTATCTCTTAACTTCTATTTTTTGGTAAAACAAGATAAAACACTTAGACATTGAAGAATGCTGCTAAATTAGCATCTTTAGTTTTGTTCAACAACAAAAAATTTACAACAAAAGGGTTTGAGACGACTGAAGTTTAGCAAATCAGTTCTCTCATTTCACTTCTATGTACCGTTTCAATTTACAAATGAAACTAAAATTTTGTTCTAAAAAAAGAAATTCAAAAAAAAAATTAGGTTATATTAATAATTAGAAAAGTTAACATAAAAAATTTAAAGATACTTTGATTAAAGAAGCAAAAAATACAGTCAATCAAAATTATTTGATAATATTTTTGTGTTTTCAAACACTTTACAAAAACAGTTATGCTAAACGATTGATGAATAAGAACTATTTTTTTTTTTTGGTACAATGTCAAAAGCTTAAAAAAAATGATGTGTCTAAAAAAATTGCAGTAATTCTATACAATTAATAGTCAGACCTAAAAAGAATTTTAGCTCGGAGAAAAAAGCGGTTATCTTAGCAGAAGCAACTAAGTTTGCCTTTTTTTTTTGTTGGGTATCAAAGATCATCTCTGATAATTCTGCTGTAATAATTCTGCTCTTTTCAATTTTTATAACTTTCATTATTTTTCATGCAAAAAAAATGAATGGAAAAATTTCGTTTTTTTTGGTAAATTTTTTTAATTTGAATCAAAAAATAATTTGTTATTAATCGATGAGATAATTTTAGTACTACAAAAAAACTTCTTTTTTTTTGATAAAAAGATATGGTATAATAAGAGAGTAAATTTTTTTTCTGGGAGAACTAATTATACTGTTTATATGACAATAACTTGTTTTTTTTTTATCAAGAGCCATCTAGACAAGCCATATCTTA